TTGAAACAGTTGAAAATCTTTCACTTGGAAGAGCATTGTATTTATTCTATTTGACTCCAAGGGGTGTGTGTGTGTGTGTGTGTGTGTGTGTGCACGCGCGTGTGCGCTCGCAGTAGCGCACCTGTGAATAGGGGACTGAAATTATGGAAGGTAGGCTTTAGCTCAGTAAAAGAAGAAATCATTACTTAAGTAAAGAGGTAATGAGCTTGTCTTTTTAAGATAGGCTGAGTTCCTCAAGATTTAAGGGCAGGGTGGCCTGGTACTGGGGATCCCATGCTGGGTGGGATGTGGTTTCTCATGAGTGTGGTCAGCCTGAGGCTTCTTTCCCTGCTTTTCCTGCTCCCCAAAGAGACACATTGTCTCAGTTAATGTCTGGGTATTGGGGGAAAGACATTTCCTTTGGGGATTTCCCTTCTTCACATGACATTTTTACTTCTGAGTATACACAAAAAGCCTTTCTAGTGCTGACTGAGACAGCATGGACAGAAGCCCGCTAGTTTAGCTATACATTTACCACCACATATTTAAAAAATCAGATTGTCATATACTAATGGCTTGGGATTTGCACTTTAATCTGGATTTCCTTGAACAATGGACAGTAAGACTATTAGAGTATACATCACGTGAACATGGGAGAGTATACTTACAAGACTAATGATACATACTTAGACTTGTTATGTCACTCAGGCTGGCCTCAACCTTGAGCTCCTCCTTGCACATGAGTGCTAGGATTATGGTTACATGTCCCCATATGTGACTCTTTGCAGTCAATTCAGAAACAACAACAACAACAAAAACACCCTACAGATTAAAAAAACCAAACTGCCAGGCACTGGTGGCTCACCCCTGTAATCCTAGCTATTAACTACTCAGGAAGAGATCTGATGATTGTGGTTCAAAGCCAGCCCAGGCAGGAAAGTCTGTGAGGCTCTTATCTCCAATTAACCACCAAAAAACCAGTGCTGTGGTTCAAGTGGTAGAGTGCTAGCTTTGAGCTGAAGAGCTCAAGGACAGTGCTCAGGCCCAGAGTTCAGGCCCCACGACTGATGATGACGAGGATAACAATAACAACAACAACAACAAACCCCACCATAAACTTCAGGGCCAAACCCAGTGGTTCACATCTATAATCTCAGCTAACTGGGAGGCAAAGATAAAAGGATCATGGTTTGAGGCCAGCCTGGGTTCAAGTTAGCAAGATCTTTTCTCAATACATGAGCGTGGTGGTACACACTTGTAATCCAGCTAGGTGAGAAACATAGGAGGTTTGAAGTCTGAGGCTGGTAATTGTATAAGCAGGTTTATGATCATGAATATGCTTATATCATTTTCTACTAAATTCAGAATTTGTCTTACCATAGATAAAAAAGGAAACTTTATCCCAGTAATTCCAATCATAATTCAGCATGATTTCTTCCAAAAACCAGCTCTGTTTCTTTTAGCTCACTACTACAAAGGATAATTTTCATTTTGCAAAGATGTTAAGCATGTTAATGGGTAGATCATTAAGACATCAACTGTCATTGTTTTAGCCTGGGTGACAAGCAAGACAAAACCCATGCATAAGGCCAGGTGGGTAGAGGGTGGTTAGTGGGATTGGAGGTGGAGGGAGATTTCACAAAGTAGAAATCCCAGTCTCCTTAAAGGCAAAGTGTCAATTTAACTGCAGGCATAGGGAGTTCTACCCTCTGAGCATCAGCTGTCTGACATCCCTACCTAGTATCTAAAAGTGCAAGATCAAAAGATTGGGACATATCTAGTAGAATATCAGTAGCTACTCAAGATGATCTTGGATTCCCTTTGCTAAAAGTCAATCTGTGGTATCTTTCTCATTCAGGACTTACTTCTTCCCAAATCTTTTCTTTCTAGAGTATAGTCAGGCATTGCTATAAAGCATGGATATGTTTATGCTGTATCTTGGTGTGTGTATGCATGTGCATGAGTATGCGTGTGCCCAGCACTGGGGCTTGAACTCTGTGCTTGGGTGTTATAACTTAACTTGTTCATTCAAAGGTGGTATTCTACCACCTGAGCCACAGCTCTACATCTGGCTTTTTGCTGGTTAATTGGAGTAAGAGTCTCATAGACTTTTCTGCCTTGATTGGCTTCAAACCATGATCCTCAGATCTAAGTCTTTTGAGTAGGTAGGATTCCAGGTGTTACCCACCAGAGCCCAACCTTATTGTATGTTTAGGCTTTATCTATCTAAACTGATTGTATGTTTCAGCTATGTCTAAACCCATTACTCCTAGGCTACCACCCAGTTACTTGGTATATTGCTGTACTAAATACTGTAAGCAGTTTGAACACAATGGTAAGCATTCTTGCATCTAAACATAAAGTAAACATTCTTAGCAATAAACAGTTTATAGCTCCATTAGTCTGAGAACCATGTCCTGGGTGGCTTTTGTGGGCTGAAACACTGCAGTGTGTTGACTGTACATAATTAGCATGTACTGTGGAAGTCACATAAAAAAATATAGAATGGGGGCTGGGAAGGTAGCTCAGTGGTAGAGTACATGCCTTGCATGCACGAGGCCCTGGGTTCGATTCCTCAGCACCACATACGCAGAAAAAGCCAGAAATGGTACTGTGGCACAAGTGGTAGAGTGCTAGCCTTGAGCTGAAGAGCTGAGGGACAGAGCCCAGGCCAGAGTTCAGGCCCCAAACAGAACAAAAACAAAAACAAACCAACCCCAGAATGATGGAGATTACCCAAATTTGCATTCCTAACTTTGGAGCTGAGGACACTGGGAAGGTAGCTCAATCCACTTAAGAGTTGAAGCAGGCTCAGTTATTGACTGTGTCTATGGGGACAAGGAGAAAAAAAAAAAAAAAATCAAAGACCCGTATTTCATCCCATGTTCTCAAAACTCAAAACTAAGATTCATTGAATGTTGTCTCTACATGCATCACACTAACGATTTTAATTTCATCTCTCCTGTGATTAGAAGCTATCAATTCCCATCTAACTTAATATGATACCCTATTGTGTTCTTTTTTTTTTCAGTGCCTTCTAGCTCTTCAGCAGCAGGAAATGCTTCCATCTGCCTAGAGACAGGTATTCATCCCTACCATTTTAATAACTTCTCTGTCCCATTTTGACTGCCACAGAATTTATGAGGCTATCCAGTTTGTCCGGGAAGAGATTGTTCTTAGATCTATAATGCCCAATACACAGAAATAGGCCTACTTGATAAGTTGGTTCTTTGACTCACAAACCATTGAGAGAAAGAACCCACATACTTAGAAAAGCAGATGTCAAAGGCTGCTTCCAGCTGGGAAGGTGGCTCAGTGGAAGAGCGCTTGCCTTGCATGCCTGAGGCCCTGGGTTCGATTCCTCAGCACCACATAAGCAAAAAGAAAAAAGCCGGAAGTGGCGCTGTGGCTCAAGTGGTAGAGCCCTAGCCTTGAGCTGAAGAGCTGAGGGACAGCGCCCAGGTCCAGAGTTCAGGCCCCACGACCGGACCCAAAAAAAAAAAAAAAAAGGCTGCTTCCACTCCATTCTTCAAGAGACAAATCAGATAGTGGCTGGAGGTCACAGTCACAAATGGTACTATGTGCTCAGCAGTGAACTCCCTGGAAATGAAGGCAAGTCAGTTTAGATATCTCTCTTTGGGGCTTACATTTATTTTTTACTTAGGTTGTAATTTGAAATCAGTATAGCCCGGGCTGGGCCTTTGTGATCCTCCTGTCTTAGCTCCTGAGGACTAGACAAATAGGAAAGCATGTTCAGCTATCTATTATGTATCCACTTCCTGCCCCCAAAGACAACTTTTGTCCTAATTTTTTCGTATTCTCATATCAGTGTAAAAAATATTCCCAATTACTTTTGGAATCAGATCATTTCTATGTGGCATGTAAAGAAACTTTACAAGTACCCGTGCAAATGAACACGGTAGCATGGCACTTTATAAACACAGTTGGGCAACAAGGGCCTGGTGAGCAGCCATTAGTTCTGTCTTTGCATTCTAAGGACAAATTGCGTATTTGTCTTGCATACAAATTAAAAACACTGAGACCTTTTCTTTCTTTCTTTTCTTTTTTCTTTTTTTTATTACATTTGGACCTTTAAGAAACATATACCATCAGATATACCACTATTTAGTAAAAATCTATTCTAGTTCTCGAGATGCATGTGTGTCACAAACTGTCTTCTAGTCTCCAAGACTTTATGAAGAGTTTATCAAAAAGATAGGCTCTGATCTATGGGATCCTGAGCCTTGAGGTTTTTCAAGTTTTAATTACTGTAAAACAACTTCAAGTAGATGAACTTAATTGCAAGATGTTTTTCTAGTCCATTACAAGAATATTGTATTCCTTAAGCAATGTAATCTCTCTTTGGAAAACCTGGCAAAAGAAAGTTATTACTATTTTTTTCCTCTACAATGAAGATGAATTTACAGAACACACCCAGTATAATCAGGACAAATGTAGTATAATGTGCATGTGCGGCGCTCACTTCCATGACTTCATACCAGAGACTATCTAGCTATGGAGACTCTTTCCTGATGAGCAGGATCCATGTGTAGTTAGATGCAGGTTACATTCTTTCCTTTAACATGACTCCCAGAAGCTGATACTGGTTACATATAAAAAGGGGGCGTGAACAAACACATCCTCACATGACTGTGTTTCCAAGAAAGTCTTCAACACAGGTACCCAAGGGCTGAGGAGGCTGCTAATGGGGCCTGGGAAGGTTTAAAGCTATGGCTTCGGTAAGCACCCAAGTGAGCTGTAGGAAGGCATTTGTAAGAACAGATTCTGCAGCATCAAAGGTAATTCTCTACAAAAGGTAGGTGTTTTCCCAATTAGTCTAGGTTCTGGGGCTTTCGGCAGTCAAATGCTAACAACAAGATCCACAGAGAAGAGAGCCATCTTCATAACACTGAGGGACGTGGGGGACTGGGCCATTAAGCTCACAACACCCGTGGTCCAAGTGCCTTTGGTGGTGTAACATGGACAAGAAAAAAAATTAATGCACAGACCACATAACACCATTAAAACCAAAAAACATTTTTTTCATTTAAAAAAGTATTTAGGACACATAAAACAAGGCAACATCTATTCCTTCTTCTCGTCCTCTGGTATGGGATCTGTGGGCGGCTCCTCCACTGTCGCACTGTTACTCTCGGAGCCAGTGTTGCTATCGCTGGTTCCTTCCTCGGCCATGCTGTCCACCCCCTCCTGCCCGCTCTCCTTGTCCTCAGGAGTGGATGTGCCTTCTTCACCATTCTGTTGGCTCTCCGTTGTTTCTTCGAGGCGTGTCTCCTCTGTAATCACACATTTGTCACTGTCAATTTCAAAACTAGCATTTATTCTAATGAAGCTAATGCCATAAAGCTGTTCTAATCGCCATGGCAGCCATAGGTATCTATTAAGCACCTGAAATAGGCCAGGACTGAGGAATTTTTAAGCATTTCAGGAATAATTGACAGTGAGAAAACATTCTCAGCTCTAAGGTTATGAGATCTAAATATACACCAAACACTTCTGATGAAAATTTAGATTTATAATAGAGATGTACTAAAGGAGTAAAATATATGCTAGGTTTCAAATACTATGAGAAAAGAACGTAAGAAAGTTATGAATTTAAAAATATTGGGCTGGGAAGGTGGCTCAGTGGTAGAACGCTTGCCTTGCATGCATGAGGCCCTGGGTTTGATTCCTCAGCACCACATAAGCAAAAAGAAAAATGCCAGAAGTGATGCTGTGGCTCAAGTGGTAGAATGCTAGCCTTGAGCTGAGTGACCGCGCCCAGGCCCAGAGTTCCAGCCCCAAGATTGGACCACCCCCCCCAAAAAAATATATATATTGATTCTATACTGAACTAGTACTTAACATAGACATACTATGTTAATACATTATTAAGATTACACAGGGTGTGGTGGAACATGCCCGCAGTTCCAATTACTCAAGAGGATTGCTTGAGCCCAGGAGATCAAGGCTAAGCCTACAACACAGTTGAGAGTGTCTCAAACAAAACATGAATTTTACTTGTTTTGCCTAACAATTTTCTTCAGCTATTTTTTTTTTAAATTAACCCAGACAGAATCTGAACAAAGGATCTACAGGTGGTGAGAATAAGACAGGCCCACAAATGGATGACAAAACAGAGGCACAGGACTGAGTGTTTAGTTACCACATAGTGAAGAACCATACCCTAATTCTCAAGCTTTAGCTCTAACCACAAAAATGTGCTCATGATCCAAATTTAAGACAAAAACATGTTTACAAAAACATAAAGAGGCTCTGATAATGAAACCTGAAAACCTGACTGTGTGAAATGTTAATTGGCTGCGGTTAAATTTTATAGAAACTCTGGGTAAAGATACCAATAATTCCATCAAATGCTTTCCAGGTTATATGAGCACAAAGTATGCCAATGTCCCTCCCACTTCTTGTAACAATGGTCCAGGAAACTCTGGTGGTGCAGCTGTAACTATTTTCAGCATAGTACTATTTGTAATGTGCCAGGCAGGTAAACTGTATGCCAGAAATTTACACACCGGTTTTTACACCCAGAGATACTTTTATTCAGAAGACTGTTACGTTTAGAAATAAGTTTTTCTAAGGTGGGGACAAGCAAAGGGCTAGACAATAAATATTTTAGACTTTGTGGGCCATCTTTGTTCCAACTCCTCAACACAGCCCTACACGACATATATTATATGTACATGATGTGTATAAACTAACAGGAATGGTTGTGTTTCAGTAAAACTTTACTTACAAAAGGAGGGTGGAGAGAGGATGGATTTGGCCTATTATGTTTTATTTTTACTAAATGTGTTTTAGAATATCAAAGACAATCTTGAGAACAATGAGCATTACCTATATAAATAATGTTCCGAACACAGATTAAAATACTCCATGTTAATGCTATGTCAAATTCAGTAAAGAGGCAAGAATATAATTCGTGAAAAGCATTTACAGGAGAATCAATAAAAGGCCCTCGAGTGACTTACGCCGCCCACCGCTGGCAGGTTACCTGTCTCCATTGGAATGCTCTCATCATCCTTCTTCTCCTCGGCTTTGCTGGCCGCTGGCTCTTCCTCAGGAGGCATGCCACCCTGACCACGCTCAGCCTGCTCTGCTGCTTCCTTCTCCCTCTCCTCCTGCCGTTTGCGGGCCTGCTCCTCTGCCTGGGCAATTTCAGCTGCAATCTTCTCCATATCCACTTCTACCTTCAGACCACACAACTGGTAGTCAGGAAAAACAAAACAAAACAAGAAAACTCAGAAACATTCTCATCATTTTGAAACACAGGAACTGTTTAAAAACTGGGTTTCCTTGCCCATCAAACAAGATACATACACTGCTTGGCGTGTGGTTCAAGTGGTAGAGCACCTGCCTAGCAAGTATAAGGCTCTATGTTCAAACCCCAGGATCACCAAAGGAAAAAAAAGTTCATAGAATCAAGTAGCTCTCTAGCAGCCAAGTACTATCAACTCCTATAGAGGGCTTCAAGGCAACACTGAGAGGACTGGATTATACATTCTCAGCATTAGGACACACAAAGTACAAACTGTGAACACCATTAAATGAAGATGTTTGATAAACATGTTCTAATACAGGAAAAACAATTCAAGACTATGTAGGAATTTAAATGAAAACACTGCGCGTTCTAGCATCAATAGGCATAGTACAGAGAAACACTAAGTAATGTTTCAGTTATTACTTTTTCCAGAAAATAGGAATGATACTATGAATCGAAGATGTAAAGATTATGTTGCGATGTTAGCCCTGTTTTAAAGGGCACAAAGCTTGGTAAGAACACTGTTTTGGAGGACAAGGAAACCATGGTAACAGGCATGTGATGAGGTTGGGTGGATGGATACCCTTTTCAGCTCATTATTAAAGGAGTCTGTGCTTTCCAGGAACTTCCTCTTCTTTTCCTGGTGTCGTTCCTCTATTTGAAGAAGCTCAGCTTCTAGTTTTCTCTGTAAAACAAGTGATCCAAGTTTTGTAACTACAGATTATCTGAAGCAGATGTCAAACAGAAACTATGACTCATTTTTTTAAACATATAGATTTATCAAATATTGCAGAATATTTATTTTCTTCACCAAATTTTTTGAAGTCTTCATATCCCCATTGAAAAATCTGGGATAAAATACACATTGGATTTTCCATCCTGACCGTTTTTCATAGTTTGGTGGCACTAAATACATTCATAATGCAGAATCACCATTACCATCACCCACGTCTGTAACTTTGTTCATTTTGCAAAATGATGCTCTACACCAATTAAATTCCCCATCTCCCTCTCCCCCTTCTGTCCCTGACAATCACTATTCTCTTTTTGTGTACAATTCTGACTACTTTAAGTACTTCATATATTTGTCTTTTCTTCACTGGAGTATCACACAGAATTGCAATATATTTCAGGATTCCCTTTATAAAAACTAGCATAGCTGGGTGCTGGTGGCTCATGCCTGTAATCCTAGCTCAGGAGGCTGAGATCTGAGGATTATGGTTCAAAGCCAGCCCAGGCAGGAAAGACTGTGAGACTCTTATCTTCAAGTAAACCACTAGAAAACTGAAAGTGGCGCTGTGGCTCAAGAGGTAGAGTGCTCGCCTTGAGCTGAAGAGTGCAGGGACAGAGCCGAGGCCCAGAGTTCAAGCCCCATGACTGACAAAAAAAAATTAGCATACTTTAGCTATACAAGGGGACTGTGACATTTCCAATCAATGCCCCCTCCCACTCTCTGATTCCCTTCACCCCTTCCTAATTTCAAGAAGTTTCGTTGTTTTATTTTTATACTTGCCAACAATCTATTTCACATTTCATTTTTAATGGTCTATACATTCATATAATATAACAAATAATATTCTGCATTGTTTGATAATTTAATACAAATACAGGTATGATTTAAAAATATATAAAATGCAACAGACGATGATTAAAGGATACCATTTCAGGCCTAAACAATTTCTTTGGCAAAAGTATTTTTCTTTCTTTTTTTTGTCAGTATTGGGGCTTGAACTCAGGGCCTAAGCTTCTTTCTTTTTTTTCTTCCCTCCCTGTTTATGTGATACTGAGGAATTGAACCCAGGGCTTCATGTATGCTAGGCAAGCACTCTACCATTAAGCCAGGGCCTAAGCTTCTTATGCTCAAGACTAGTGCTCTACCACTTGAGCCACTGCTCCATTCCTGGCTCTTTTGGTAGTTTAATGGAGAAAAGAGTCTCAGACTTTCAGGGCTGGGAAGGTGGCTCAGTGGTAGAGTGCTTGCCTCACATGCATGAGGCCCTAGGTTCGATTCCTCAGTACCACATAAGAAAAAGCTGGAAGTGGCACTGTGGCTCAAGTAGTAGTGCTAGCCTTGAGCTGAAGAGCTGAGGAACAGCGCCCAGGCCCAGAGTTCAAGCCCCACAACTGACTTAAGTGTCATACTTTCCTGCTGGGGCTGGCTTTGAACCATGATCCTCAGATCTCAGCTTCCTAAGGAGTGAGGATTACAGGCATGAGCCACCAGGGCCTGGCTTGCTCAGTTTTACTTTATTTATTTATTTTTAATTATGAAGTTAATTTCTTTTTGGACAATGTCATCCTTCCTTCATTCTCTCTGTTTTTCCCTCTCATTCCTGCCCACAAGTTGTACAGTTCAGCTGCATTTGTTCACCCTTTCTCCTTCCATTTCTGTGCCCATTTCTTCAGAGACATATATAAACCAACAACTAAAGACAAAAAGGAAAAAAAAAACAACCCAAAAACAAACCCCTTGCTTCCATTTCCTGAAATTCATCTTGATAAATATTACTTTATATGATCAGAGGCACAGAGGCCTTGCACCTTTGGGTTCCTCGCCTAAGAATTATCCTACTTTGGCTTCACTGTGAAGCCTAGAGTCATGTATAATTTATCAGTCCTGTATAATTATTATCATATCCCATATCTAGCTTTTGTATATAAGAGAATATGCCACATCCATCCATCATTGGTTATAGGGCTTAAATTCAGGGTGCTGTCCCTAAGCGTTTTCTTTCTTTCTTTTCTTTTTTTGTTGGTTGTAGGGCTTGACTCTGGCGTGGGTGCTGTTCCTCAGCTCTTCAGCTCAAGATGAGTACTCTACCACCAGAGCCACAGTGCTACTTCCGGTTTTCTGGTGGTCAATTGGAGATAAGAGTCTCATGGAGATAAGAGCCTGGACTGACTCTGAACCATGATCTTCAGATCTCAGCCTCCTGAGTAACTAGGATTATAGGCATGAGCCACTGGCACTTGGCCCCTGAGCTTTTCCCACTCAAGTCTAGTGCTTTACCACTTTGAGCCACAGTTCTACTTCTGGTTATCTGGTGGTTAATTGGAGATAAGAGTCTCATGGGCTTTCCCTCCCCAATCTGGCTTTAAACTGTGATCCTCAGATATCAGCCTTCTGAGTAGCTAGGATTAGAGGTGTAAGCCACCGGCACCTGGATTGGCTCAGCTTTTTTGTTCATGGCTGGTGATCTACCATTTGATCTATACTTACAGTTCTGGCTTTTTGCTGGCTAATTGGAAATAAAGAATTTTTCAGATTTGTGTGCCCAGATTGGCTTCTAATTCAGATTCTCAAATCCTAGCTTCTCAAGTGGCTCACAGGTATGAGCCACTTGTGCCTGCCGATATAAAGTACTTTCTAAAGCAAGGCTGACAGGGTGCCTCAAATCCTTTAAGTTCACATGTATTTCTTAGCAGATACATTTTCTAATACAAGTTTAGTTACAGCTTTTTCTTTTAAAGTATTATGTACATAAGTTTATTTACCTAAATGAAAGTGTTATTAAGATACATCTTGAAGTATAGAGCCCAAATCCGGTAGGTATTAACATCATTGGCTTGTCTTTGTGAAAACGCTATACAAAAGCTTTTACCAAATTAGTAGTTAACACTCTGTTTCAGCAACAGAATCTGTATAATATGACATTAAAAGAAGAAAAGCCATTGCTATTTATACTTCTATGAACACCTAATTTTATATATAACATGAACTTCATTTTGAAGTACAAGTACAGGTAACAAGCTTTTTAATGCTAAACTTATTAAACCTCTGGAATGGTTTACTCCAATTGACCTCCTTCCCAAATCAAGAACAGGTGAGTCTAAACTACATATTTCACAATTATACTTATGTATAGTATAAGACATGTCATCTGAGAATTGTGGTCTAAGCCCATTTATCATAACTAATGTTTTGAACCCTTACCTGATGTACCATTAAGGACTGGACCTGTCGCTTGAGCACCTGCATTCTGGCTGTTGTGACAACTGATCGAACATCTGGCACCACGCTCTCACTGAGGATCTCACTGATGAGGCGGTGGTTCCTCTGGAAACGGGCAGTGGCTGTATGCTTCATTGAAAAGCCATCGTCATAATCTGGGATGAAGGAGAGGTTTTGGAAATCAGGTCCTTTGTAGCCACAAGAAAGTGAACTCACTGGCCAGCACCAGGGAAGTATGGGACAGACACGTGGAAGGAACCAGAGGACAGAATGTGCTCACTGGCCTAAGAACTGGCTTCACAATGTGGTTAAGTGACATGGGGGTCTGAGGCCTGGCTGAAAGAAAAAGAGCTCTATCCATGTCTCTGGTGGCCTCACCTGAGCACAGGAACTGAAATTCTGCTGGATATTTTACTATCCTTCTGGTAGTGAGCTAAGTCATAATAACTGATAAACATATAATCTGGGCAGTATCTTTGCCACAGTAGCTATCTAAAATTAATACAAATGTTATTAACTTATTGCAGCAGAGAAACATCCTCTGTAGTGATATCCAGTGGCCCAGACAACATTTACATTTCATTGGATTAAAAAACCGTGAAGGTAGGCTGGGATGTAGCTTAGTGGCAAAGCACTTGTCTAGCAAGTGCAATGTCCGGAATTCAATGCTCAAAGAAAGAAAAGATAAAAAAACAAAACAAAGAACAGTAAAAAAACAAACTCAAAAAACCCCATGAAGTCCTGAAGTAACTATGTAGAAAAAAAAAAAACTTGATTCCAAACATACTTTTAACAATTGTTAGTTTACACAGAACATCCACAAGCTGAGGTCATCATGCAGTGGTGTTACCAAGTTCAGACATGTACAGAATGGATCTGACTTATATGTTTATTTAAAATAATCATATAGCACTCTTTTCTTCATCTCAGCTTTGGTTCTATGTTTTTTCACATACCTGGTAACAAATTGTATTGGTAGCTACTTAAGTTTTTTTTTTTTTTGTCGTGGGACTTGAACTCTGGGCCTGGGCACTGTCTCTTAGCTCTTCCAGCTCAAGGCTAGCGCTCTACCACTTGAGACATAGGGCCACTTCCGGTTTTCTGGTGGTTTATTGGAGATGAGTCTCACACTTTCCTGCCGGGGATGGCTTTGAACCGAGAACTCAGCCCCCTGAATAGCTAGGATTACAGGTGTGAGCCACCAGTGCCTGGCTAGTTTTTTTCTTTTGGATCCGGTTGTGGGGCCTGAACTCTGGGCCTGGGCACTGTCCCTCAGCTCTTCAGCTCAAGGCTAGTGCTCTACCACTTGAGCCACAGCGCCACTTCCGGCTTTTTTCTTTTTGCTTATGTGGTGCTGAGGAATCGAACCCAGGGCCTCATGCATGCAAGGTAAGTGCTCTACCACTGAGCCACCTTCCCAGCCTCCCCTCCTTTTAAAATTAACTTATTAAAAAAAAAAGATTTCTCTTATCCATTAGGACAGTTTGTTTCTGAACCACCTAATTGTCTTATTTTGTGTCTCACAGGAGTGGGGGAGCATATGCTGTAGAGGCTTGCATTGTTCTGTAGGTGATGGTCTCTAAAGTGTCATTTTAAAAAGCCTTCATGTTCCCTATGTGATAGTGGTGCTTCCTTGTAATCCTAGCTATTTGGGAGGCTGAATCAGGAGGATCACAGTTCAAGGCTGGTCTGGGTGTATACATGAGATCCTTTCTCAGCCAATAGTTGAGCAAGGTGGTGTATGCTTGTCATCTCAGCTATGACAAGAAATGTAAAATAGGCAGATTGTGATCCAGGTATACACCCAGGCAAAAAGCAAGACTCTATCTCAAAATAACCAGTGCAAAAAGGGGCTAGGAGAATGGCTCAGTTGCAGAACACCTGTCTATTAAGCTTGAGGTCTTGAATTCAAATCCTAGTACTGCCAAAAAAGAACTTCACTATCTTAGGTGAAGATTTGTCTAGTGGACCTAGTCATAGTCTATGGTAAGGAAGTCAGCAGCTGCTGCCCGTATGCTGGTGGCTTTTGTTTCTTGGTTTTATGTACATTTCTATTTCACAAGTCCTCCAAGAGGATAAAGTTCAAAGTCTAAAGTTGCTCTTTTACTAGCATTATGTGATACTTTACGGGTTGATTTAAAAACCTTTCTTTAACTTTGAAACACAACAGAAGGTTTGAGGCTGTTTCTGAGTGAATCTATTCAGTCCTTATCAAGTTCATGCTATGACTGCCTTTCACTTAAGGAAATCTTTACTTTCTGCTTATGGTGTCTATGTTAAGTATACAGACCCTCACCTTCCCAATTATCTGTAGAGTTGACTTTCTATTTTTTAGTCCCGCATGGTTTTCCTTCCATTAACATTTCATTTGAGTAAGTACAGTCTGCCTATGTTAATCTCTGCAGCACTGCTAAGCCTGCTTAACTCTCAATATTATTTCCATCCCATATTCTGTTATCTGTATCATTACACTCTGTATTTATAAGAATATCTGGCACTATTCCAGGACAGTCCTTCAAAAACTCATCTTTGTTTTTTTTCTTTTGTAGTACAATCATCTATGTCTTCAGTAGTACGTCCTGATATTACTGTTTCCTCCTCCATTGGCATTTTTACATTTATTAAGAACTTGCAACTCTGTTGTTGCTACTTTAAAAATCGGATCCTAAATAATTTTCTTGCTGTTTTGTGACTAACAGCTAGAACTTCCAATGTTCTCCACTTTGTGGCAGCACACAGAGGTGATATCAATGTTTGTGCACAGTGTGTGTACATGATGCCTGCCTCTGGGCACCTTGCAGCTCCAGAGCCTGACCTGCCTACCGAGGACCAGGAAAGCAACCTGCACATTTGAATGAGGAAGCTGGCAGAAGCTTTCAGGATGTTCTAACCTTCTCCTCTAAGAATCTTAAATTCAGTAAATTTAACCAATGAGAAAACTAGATATAACTAGAAGACAATTGTAAAAACAGTTGAGGGAAAATCCCAATTGTGACTTAAATACCACACAGTCTAAGTTCAAAGATTTTGATAAGGTTTTTTTTTTAATAAACTATTTTCTTCACTAAAAGGAGTAAAAGAGTCACAAAAATCTTACTCAAAATAACTAAGATGCTAAAATAACACTTAAATTATGCCCTTCCATTTAAGAAATAAATATTCTAACTCAGAGAAACTATAAAGAAAATCCTATTCTCTTTGCTCCTCACCATCTGGGTCTTCAGCAGGTTGAATGCTCATGTAAGGTTCCCCTTTCTCCATGCGAGACTGTCTCTGTCGACTTTCTTCTTCTAATGCAGCTTCTGCACGGCTTTTTGCATTGATGTAGGCAAGGTATGCAGGGGAATTGTGATAGGCCTTCATAGATTCATTGTACTCTATCTGAAAGCCAAAAGATTTCCAACTTTATAATGAACAGTGTGCAAGTTACAGGGTATACCTGTAACATTTCATTTGAATATCAAGGAACTGATATAAAGCAGGATGCCATCATAGTGGTTAATATCTCCTTTTTATGGACAGGGACTCTGAGGTCTAGAGAAACCAAGTGACCAGACCCAGGCAGATAGAGCCTCAATCCTCAAAAAAAAAAAGCTGAGCCACCTCAGCTTTCTGATCAAGTTTTATGTTCCCTCTATTCACAATAAGCCAAGGATGGTGCACTTTACCCCATGTCCATCCCAAGTCTCTTACCTTTTCTGCTTCGTATTCGTTTAAATATTCTTGTTTCTCTTCATCAGTGAGATCTCGCCACATGCCACCAATAATCTTGCCAATCTCCCACAACTTTAGGTCGGGGTTGGAAGCTTTTACTTGGTCCCAGACCTTTAAAAAAGAAAGTAGTTGAAATCTCAATATTAATGCTTAAGCATGTACTTACTTAAAAATAGTACTCAATGTAGAAACATTTAATAAACATAAACAAAAGAGAGGGCAGCATCAAACTCCTATGTTCTCTTTAGCCTTTTTCAACAATTATTCATAGGTGGCTCATCTCCCTCTTTATCTGAAGGATTATTTTGAGGCAAATCTCAGACTTCATGTCACTACACATGAACATTTCAATTTGATAAGCCAAGAACATCTCCAATCATTGGAGATATTTACGATGAGTTAACTCAATAACCTAGTCTTTATCTCTAAAAATTTATGTGAATTTAGAAGGAAAATAATTATCTGTATAATACAATGAAAATATATACATTAAGTATGAACAACTTCTTAAAAATTTCAAAGTATGATGAAAATGCTCCTCTGTTTAATGAGTAGATTCAGTTCAAGAGTTATATAGGTTCATCACCAAAAACCTGGAAAATTTAAAGAAGCATAAAGGAAATAAAAGTCAGCCTACACTTACTATTTTTGGCACTAACCATTGTTTACCAGTTTTTCCTTCTCAAACTTACATAAAAATATTATGTGGTTGCTTTTTTTTTTGGGGGGGGGGGGGAACAGTATTAGAATTTGAACTTTGTACTTTGCTAGGCTGGAATGATACTGAACCATATTCTAGCCCACTATTATTTTTATTTTACTTAATAATTAAAATTTGTGGTGCTAGGGATGGATCCAAGGCTTCTCACAGGCTAGGTAAATACTACTGAGCTATACTCCCAGTATCTTATTTTATGAAAGATATTAACATATACAGTCTTGTATTCCCTTTTTCTACTTAACATTTTTTTCTCATACCATTCAGTATTATCCAAAAGACATTACTTTGATGGCTATAGGACATTATGCATATGAACAGTTTATTTAGTCATGCTCCTCTCACTGTATCTTAGTGGTGGAATTTTAAAATCAGAATGAACTTTTTATAAAGTTGTCTTTTATTCTCCCCCTGGAAGCTCAGAGAAAGCAGCTAAAGCAGCTAAGCCTATCTAAAATTGCACATAAGGATGAAGGGCAGAGGTGGCTGTCCTCCTTCCCTCCCCATTTCCAGGTACCTACCTTTCTGCTGTACCTCATGTAGGGCATCAGCGGCTTATCTGGTGGCTTTGGGGGTTTTGGAATTGTAATACCAGAGGATGCCTACAAAAGAGGTAAATACATTCATTATTCAATTATAAGAAGTTCACCGGTAACCTGAAAAGAGAGTCCCTTAAAAAGTTCTAATGCGCCTTTCTTCTACTCGTCCATGGATACAAGATTCTTTTATTTTCTCCACGGAAAATAGCTAGCACTGCAAATTCAGAAATGTTCATATGAAAAGAAAAAATTACTTTAAACATAGAACTTTGAACGTTTTACTTAGCAATTTACTGCGACTGCCTTGACAACCTGGCTGCAAGAACAAATAAAGTATTACGTAATAATCCAGACACTGAAAATACGTGGTTATATATCAAACATCTCACACTGAGGACATTACATGGCACCTTTTTGTTTCACTCAACTGCCATTACACAAACAGTCAACACTTGATTATCTGCAGCAGGATCTGAATGCTGGCACTTACCATACTCACACTGCCTACAGGGGCCTTGAATCTATTGGTATTAGGCCAGGAATGCACACCCTCAGACACACCAGAAAACAACTACCTCTTTGGTTAAAAAGCAACCAAATAAGAATATTGGACATAGCTAGAAGGCAAGACAAAAAGTAAAAGAAAGGAAACAAAAAGGCATTTCCTTTAGCACTAGAGTTTTCACTTTTCTTAAGGGTGTATGCCTGTTATCTATTGTTGCTTTTTTTTTTTCTTTCTACTTTTGTGGTTTGGGGATCAAACCCAGAGTCTCAGTAGAACTACTTCTAGTGGTTTCTTATGAGCTACTAAACTCTCACTTTTCATTGTTTTCAAGTCCTAATCATAGTATAGAAGAAAACAAGTTTCCCAGGAACAAAGCCCTGGCAGATATGGAGCCAGCTTATGCTGTTTCCTGAGTCTTACATTAAAAAGCTTAAATTCATTAAAACTTTTTTTTTTTTGGGTCTAGAAAAGGCATAAGAGGAAGAGGGAGAATGGGACGTATAAGAAAAAGGATATAAAAAGAAGTAGAGGAGACACTGAAAAATATTTTTCAAAAAAATAAAAGAAGCAAGTGGGAGACAGAAAAAAATGAACAAGACAGCCATGTGATGAGTTTCTTCTGTACACTAAGACCTAGCAAGAGACACCAGGCAACTTCTGTTGGGTCCCCACATAAAGCTGCCACTCCACAACTGTTGTTTTCCAACATTTTTGTCTCCTCTTTACATTACTGCATTTAAGTAATGATCTCAGAATAAGAAAAATCATGGCCCAATCACATTTTCCAAATCCTGGGAAAAACCTAATAATGACTTTCCCCATCAGGCCAGGAGAAAAAGCATTGGCTTTATTCTACCAAAATATGCAGCTGAATGGCAAATCCTTGATTTCAGGGATAGGCCTCATTTTTCATTCAAGGGCCCCGGGAATGTCTGCACCCTTTCCACTGTATTAAGACATGCTGCTTCTTTCTATACCAGGTTCTCCCTCCTTCTCTTACATACTTTAAAGTAACTCTACTTACTCCTTTATAGGATCATTAAGAGCATTATACCCAAGGCAGTCCTTGCTTCAACTATTCTTACCACATCTCATGTGGGTTGCCCACACAGACTGACTCTGGTTTTAGCCATTGGGCAATGGAGTGATAGAGGGGTAGAATGAGGGACAGAAACTGCCAACAGTGGTGTTACCTAAGAGCAGCCAGTAAGGGATATAGATAGGGACTAGGGTTTGCAGGAGTTAACTTCTAAGGAGAAGGAACATCCTACAAGGCTAACCTCTATCATGGATTCATACCTGAAGTTATTAGAAAGCAAACATCCTGTAGAACAGGAACTGGGTTACAAGTAACAATGGAATTGTGCCCATAATTGAAGGTGGCAGGCCACTGGTTGGCCGTTTTTAAAGAAATCTGAAGAAGAAAAGCATTCTAACATGTGTGTTTTTAAGCTGTATGAATTAAAACACTTTTACAAACAAGGTATACCCATATGTGTTTTCAAAGACTCATAATTTATAACACTAATAGATTTGCTTATTTTCCATTTTTTCTCCCAGAGAAAGGCACACAAATCATCTGCATAGGGAGGTCCTATTTCATTTACAAATACAAAAACAAATCTCCTAAATTCCATTAAAATAAAGTGAAATTCCAGTATGCATTTAGGCTCCTGAAGAAGGAAGTATCTCCAACTTCACATCTCTCACTATACTATCTTAAACATTTCTTTACCCTCGAAGACCAAACCAGTCCAAAAGCAAAAACTCAAAGTTTGAACGTTACGTTAGCCCTTTCTCCTAAAAAAGTCATAATGAAAACACCCAACCATTGCCTTGTGGGGCTGTCATCCTCTGAGGTACAAGAAAACTACAGTTGGCTTTTACTAACTGGCAGTGTTGTGAGTTTTGGAGTGGTCCAATTTCCTTTTTTTTTTTGTTTTTGGTGCCAGTCCTGGGGCTTGAAATCAGGGCCTGGGCACTGTCTCTGAGCTTCTTTTGCTCAAGGCTAGCACTCTACCACTTGAGCCACAGCGTCACTTCTGGCTTTTTCTGTTTATGTAGTAGTGGGGAATGGAACCCAGGTTTTCATGCATGCTAAGCAAGCACTCTACCACTAAGCCACATTCTCAGCCCCCAATTTCCATTTTTGATATGGTTCTTGCCTTGTTGATCAAGAAACCTACCTCTAGCACCAACTCTCCAATTTGCAACAAAGTGGGGGAAAACAAGTAATTCCACTGGTTAGAACTGTGCTTACCTAATAGTCATGTACAAAGAACTCCATGGACAAAATTCGTAATTTTGTGTGCCGTGGCCACTGTTTTTTTTTTTTTTTTGGCAGTTTCTGAAGTCCTAGCTGCATCTCTGGTAAGGTCTTAAGGGTTTTCTACTGGGGAAAGAATTTTACTAAAGCAGGGAAGTAGGTTTGTCTCAATCAGTTTCCATACCTATATTTAAGAAAGTGTGAATATGAAGGAAGAACTACACTCAAAGCTATCCTAAGCACCCCCAAAGGCCTCAACTTGCTATCTAAGTGTCCTACTCTTTGGAAAGTACCCTTCAAACTCTTCAGTACTTCATAGACTTGGCCTGTCAGATCAATAACTAAGGCAATTTGCAGACCCTAACTCCCAATTGGTAGCAACCCTCAATGTAGTATAAATTGGGGTTAGGGTCATCTAAAAAACCCACATTTATGATGGTTAAAATCAGAGCTGTTAAGTCCTAACACAGCTAAATTAGATATATAGAAGTTTGAAACCTCCACATAGTTGAGGCTCTTCACTCGGCTATTTGATTACACTTGGGTTTGATGTTAAAAGGACAAAAAAAATACATGAAAACAACCACAAAGAACCAAAACACCAAATTTCCCAGGCACAACAATTCTGCTGTATTAATGTACCCTGAAGCTAGTGCCAAGTATAAATACTAGATTCTTAATGTTCCCCAGGGAGGGAAGGGGAAAAATGAGTGACTGACCCATGACCCAGGCCCAGAGACAAGGAGCGTATTTTTCTTTTCCTAGTTAGGGCTCCATGAGTAATCTTACTTTATCAACACCCCAAAATAAGAACAAAACACACATAAAACAAGAACTAATTATTCTGGCATCACAGTTTCTATTCCTATTCCATTATTAATATAGATAATCAAGAGCTGACTGTACAGAGCTACTAAATGCAATAATTTTCTTATTTACTGCCTGTGAATAAATTTCTGTGTTAATGTAAATGATCCAAAATTGGTTCTTCTCATTTAAAATATTCTTTCTTGTCTGAAAACCTTGCCACTCAGTACACTATGAAACACCACATTTAGGCCAGGGGAAAACATGTATTGATGCACATAAAAACCATATGCATTATGAAATGCATACATAAACACACTATCAGAACTCTTTCTGGATACCATGAAATATGCATGGCACATAAACTTGGTATGTGTATGAAGTACAAATTATGCAGAAACAATGAAAAATTCAGACATACAAAAACTATCAAGCTAAGCAATGTGCTTACCAAGATAGACACACAATTTGGTAGTTACGAATTTTCAGTTTGCAGCTTGACTACAGGGTGAGAGGGTTTTCTGAAGTTACATTAATTGAATAAGCTTAATATGTATGAATAGACCAAAATGAAAACCAGGTATTAAAAAGGTTATAGCCTTCCTGGGTTGTATATATTCTTACCAACACCACATTTCAGAGTATGTAAGGTATTTGACTTTTGGATTTACTTTACCTAAACTTCTTGAATGGAGTTTAAGAGAAAATTTTGAGGTATCTCATCCAATTCTGATTATCTTAAGTTGATTACTTAAATCAAACATCCTAAATTTTAGAACTCCTATCCCTGATACTATGGGTTAGAAACTGACTTCTAGTTATAATTATCTGATACCTGAATTAATTTCATTCAACTTTTATTCTGTAATTCTTAGAGGAGAAAGTCTTTTTCTCTTTTCAACTGGAGAGAAATGAGCCTGTTAGACAGTCAATTAAATCCAAAAGACAAATAACTATGTGTAGCAATTTGGACTGGCAGGTCAGTCAAAAGCTTTCAAACCCTGAAAAGCCAGGTTTGAAAGCCTCACATGTATAAATCACCTGAGTTCTGAGACCAATGCCATTTACCTTAGAAAAAGGAAAGATACTTTTCATAACAAAAAGAGTATTTTAACCATAAAATTCTCAATTTGTTAATATAGCATAAGCATCAAGTGCCCAAGGTTTGATTCCTACTGAATACCAAACAGAATTTTTCTTTCATATACATATCCAGATCACACTATTTTATTTTTTAGTGTCAGATTATACAATGAATGTTTAAAATAATTGAAAAGCCTGGTTAATTTTTTTTTCATTTTCTTTTCAATGGCTGTGCTTATAATTCAAAAGGACCTAACTCTGGAGGCATTTCTGGTCAATTCCAGTTGTTTGCCGGAGGCTGTAATAGTTGATTCTCCTACCGTGACCCGGCTGTTGGTGCCCGGGTTCCCTCCCAGCCTGTAGTTGTTGTAGGCGAGATGACTGTATGGATTGTATCCCACAAACCCTGGTGTGCTGGGCATTTGCTGATGGAAACAAATGAGACAAAAACACGAATGAGAAATGAGCTCAAACGAGGAAAACACAGAAATGAAAAATGATCTGCATATGGCATGCAAAAGCAACCTGAATTTCAACAAGCAATGATGTGTTGTAATTTACTTTTACTTTCACCGGGAAACCAATGTTGCAAGTGTTCTCCCACCCCTTTTTTTGGCAAGGACTGGGGGAGGGGGGGTCTGTTTGTGAGTGTGAATGTGTGTGGTTTGTTTTTGAGGAAAGCAATATACTGAAGTATCTCAAACATTCAGGATTACTTTATGGGCAATAGTATGATATAATAACTTAGCAATATGTGATGCCTGAGCTTGAAGTGTGATAAGCTGGAGGTTTGAAAACACTACATGCAAAACAAAACATGATTTATTTGACAGTTATGTAGATGTCACCAAAGTGTTTATCTTCTAAGAACAAATAAAACCAAGAAATGGATCTCCTTTCCAAAGACAGCTTTAAATACTTTCATGTAAGAAATGAGACTCAGGAAGCCAGGAGTTGTCAATAGAAAAGAATGTATATTGGACTCAATGGATGTCACATGCATGATCTCAAAACAGACTTGTAAGAAATGCATGGATTTCATTCTGGGGTACTATCTGATCTTTCCAACTCAGTTATTCTTTTTTTTTTTTTTTTTTGTGCTGTCACTAGGGATTGAACTCAGGGCCTGGGCACTGTCCTTTAGCTTTTTCCACTGAAGGCTAGTGTTCTACTACTTGAGCCACAGCCCCACTTTGGGCTTTTTGGTGGTTAGCTGGAAATAAAGAGTCTCAAAGACTTTCCTGCTTAGGATGTCTTTGAACCATGATGCTTACTTAGATCTCAGCTAGGATTACAGGTGTAAGCCACTGGTGCTTGGCTTCTGGTTATTCTTATATAGGCTTTCTCTTCCATCTCTTCTTTGACCCATCTATCATAGGTCAACCACAACCAATTTCTGCAACTAATCTTAGTAGGAACTATTTTTCTCATCAACAGACTTGACCTTTCCTTTTTTTCTTCCATCTAGTTTCCTTTCAAAACACAACTATTCACTGCAGCAATAGAGTTTTTGTCTTTTGTGAATTATGTGTAGATGTAATCACACATGAGCTCTTATGGAACAGTGAGTGGCCTTGTGGTTGATACAATGACATCTTATGTTCATGAAGATCATGGTATAATGCATAAAATAATGTAGCAAAGAGAGACCAAATGTAGAGTATTTTACCTCAATCATAACAAGTGACAGTAATTTCATTTTTACATGCAAATAATAGTACTGATTCCATCTTATATAATATAATGCACATTAACACATTCCAACTAGGCTTTAGCTGTCATACAATAAGCACAATATTCTAAAACATGCTGCTGTACATATCTTTAGTGTCCAAAGACATTCAAGCAGGCAGCACACTTGATACTTTTTAGGAGAAAAGAGAACAATCAAATTGATCAATTAATTTCTAGCCTACAGAGTTAGAGAAGACGCAAGTTAAGCATATTTAGGTAGGCAAAGCACAGATGAAGTATCAAGGCATAAAAGAAGTGTCTATCATGTGGAGTGGTGGTGGTAGAGGGGGGTGGTGATGGTGGTGGTAGGAGTAATGGAATTAAAAAATAAAAGAATAATCAATGTACTTTCCATTCTGTTGAAGGATCTTATTCTTATTTTCTGATTTATTTTGTATGTCAATAAGAAATTATGATGGCACAGAAATATAACTTAAAAAGGCAAAAAATCTTTTTATGTATGAAATCTAAAGGGCATACTTGTTTTTGAAATGTTTTAATCTCAAAAATATCAAGCTTGTCCTTGAGATCTTATATACTGTTGGAGGCAGTTTTTATAGTAAAATGATACTGCCAAAGGTTGCATAACCATTCACTACTCAACAGAATCACTGTCCAATTTATGAGGCAAAAGTGTAGGAAAAATTAGGGAACTAAAAGAAATTAAAACACTAGAACTATCCCATTTCCAAAGATGAAATACATGGTTACATCTCTGAGGTCAGACTCTCAGCTGTTCCAACTTTATGCAGATGGCCATGAATATAATGCCATGGAGATGGTAGTAAGAAATACTTTGATCTAAGAAAGAAAACAAACCACGCACAAGTTTTGAGGTCTTCTGGAATCAACTTTAGAGACTGTGTATATGATATGAACTGAGAAAGAATGATACGGTATCTCTTTTTTAAAAGTACTTAAATTATTGATAATTGTAACTAAAGCATACATCTGAGGGTTAGTAAACAGATTAGATTTCTAGTGGAGAAAACAAAATTACACAAGGAAATCATTAGTGGTTAAAAAAAATAGACTAGTTTGAAATTGAGGTTGTAGGGGATATGGAAGGAAGTACTAACAACTAGTAAAGAACTAAATGTGAGGCAGGCATGGTGGTGAATGCCTGTAATCCCAGCACGTGGGAGGCTGAGACAGGTAGATCCCAAGTTTGAGGCCAGCCTGGGCTACATGCCAAGACCCTGTCTCAAAAAAAAAAAAAAGAAAAAAAAAAAAAAGTGGGGTGGGGAAGAGAGGGAGAATATGGTCATGTTAACACTATTTTGTTTAAAAAATAGTAATAAGGAAGCCAATTTATCAAGTCCTGAACAGTTACTATTAAATCTGTAGTATGGTTTGGATCATTATTTTACATGCTGATCAAGCTGGGCCAGAGTTAACTGGGTGAAAAAAACTAGTTCACATCAATTACTTAAAATACTTTGAAACAGATCAATTTTGAAAGCAATAAAATGTAATTTACAGAATGAAATAAAACCTAATAGTAACATATGACCCATAGATAATAAATCATTACTTGAACAGCTTGAAAATAAAGATTTACTATGAGGCATAATTATTAGAAGCTTGTTTAATATAAAAATTTTATATATAGACAAGATTTTTTTCATTATTATTATTTTTTTCTTGTGGTACTGAGGATCAAATCCAGGGCCTTTATATACTAGACAAGAAGTCTGCCACTGAATACTTCCCCATACTCAGACAAGAAAAGAGAAAAATGTAACCAGTTGAAGGTTAGGTTTAAACAAATAAAATGTCAGTAAAAGCACTCATTGAATATCAACTTAAAAGACTCCTAATAGTGAAGATTAACAAAAGAGAAGTGTTAAACTGGTTAATTCTCATTGAGGAAAAAACCAAACAGAGCATAGGATGTTGGAATTTCATAATTTTTTTTTCTTTTTAAAATGTTGGGGTTGGTTCAAGGTAAGCTGTAAAGAGTTATTTTATTTAGTAGGAAGTGTTTTTTAGCTGAATTTTTCATCCTGTGGCTGTGATGATTGAGTGACTGTCACTGGAAGACATCTGGGTTTTTGTATCAAGGCCAGACTTGGCTATTACATTAACAAGAAAATTAAAACTTACTGTTGCAGGAGCTGGGGTGGGAGGTGGGGCATAAGATGGTCTTTCTGTTTGAAAGAAAATAAATAACTTCTTGTAAACAACTGAGATATAATACTATGCAACAAAACTACCAATGGTCCTGTTTTGAAGAAAAAAATTTTTGAGAGTATTTTGGAATTCCCATTTGCTAGGGCATTAGTCTCTTATTAACATAGATGATAAATATAAAAATTGAAACTTACTTGACATTTTGGAAGATTAAGTTCTCAGTTCCTTAAGAATGAATCTGAGACACTAAAATAAAAAAAAAGAAAAAAAAGGAAAAAAAAAAGAGAATCAAAACTCAGCAAGCATAAGAGAATGTTTTCCTAAAGAATAGGGTAGTTTAATTGGTATTTCTGAGCAAAATTACTTCACTTTTAATTGCTAGTAATCAAGCCTTTTGAATATTTTAACTAGTTCTTTTAGGTCATTAGGTTGATCAGAATTAAATGACTAAAATAAATTACTGGGACATTTAGAGTAATATGAGAAATGTACTGCTAGATTTTTGCTTATGATACCGAGCCACGTCTTATATGGAAAACATTTTGCAGATGCCATGTAAACGTTTACTCAGACTGATAAAAAAAATAATGACAATAGAATGTGATGTATTATCAGGGTGATCCCAACAAGGCCTTGCAGATACTGACAACTCCCTGATCAACAGCTCTCCCTTGCTTTTTGAAGTAACAACCTCTATATGAATACAGCAGCATTTTACTCCTGGCACAATAATGAATTTCACATCCTCCATATTGGTCAAATAGCTTAAAACTGTTGGGAGTTAAATTTGGAGAGTCTACATGAGAACTCTTATTCCTCCTCTTCCTCAATGGCACTTTCTTGATAAATTATCTGGGCAGAATTTTCTTCCATTTGTATTCATACCTATAATAGATTTTGTGTTGCTAGGAAATGGGGCTCATCTAATTTATTCCTAGCTCGATTCTTAATAAATTTTATCTGAATATTACCAGCTCACAATATGAACACACACCCTTGAGCTTGTTCCTTATATCAATATACATCACAAATGCTAAGGGGGTAAAGTATTAAGGAGACAGATATTCATTTTTAGAAGGCAAACTTCTGTGAGTACTGCAGTATTTCCATCAATGTTTTGTAAAGCAAGCATTTTTTGGGGGTGGAGAGGGGGTGGGGAGCAGATCTATGGTTTGAACTCAGGGCCTGAGCACTGTCCCTGGGCGATTTAGCTCAAGGCTAGCACTCTAAACACTTGAGCCACAGCTCCACTTTCAGCTGTGTGTGTGTGTGTGTGTGCCTAATTGGAGATTTTCCTGCCCAGGCTGGCATTGAACTGCGATCCTCAGATCTCAGCTAGGATTACTGGTGTGTGCCACCAATGCCTGGGTGTATTTTGCATTTCAAGGAAACTCCTTGGAATATCAGAATAAGAGTCCAGGTATGCAGATAGCTTATTTTGTTCAATGGTCCAACCTGGATCTCTCTTTCTTTAAGCAACAGACAGAAAGCTTAAGACTCCCTTTAAGTCTTATTCCTTACACACATTAAGGGAGCTGTCATATCCAATAGGCCTTGCTGTAGGGAGCCCTTAACAGAAACTGCCACAGCACCCTGTACATTGCATTTCACTGGTTTAACTCTTTCAGATGACTGCTCGCCTTTGCTGGAATCGAAATCCTTAAGGGTGGGTCTGTGCATTTATTTATCCACCTTGGATCCATCCCTCGAGGCTGGCCCAGAACAGATTCTCACTATGCATTAGTTGAATAATTACCTTATAAGGGGAGAGGCTTATTATACGACCTCGGCTCACCAGTCACAACGACCCTACGAGATTACATTCCGCTCTCCCCCTTTTACAGATGATAAAACGGAGTCTCAGGGCGTGGAAGTTTAAACTCGCCAGCGAGTGCCAGTTGATGGGTTTCAAAGCCCAGGTCACACTTGTCTCAGAGAGTTTCCGCTCCTCACTCCCAAGTCCACGTCGTGAGTCCCCCCCCCCGCCCCCCAGATCACTGCCTGAACCAAAATGGGGAAGGGGGAGAACCACCTTTCCGGGGAGGGATAATGACCCCCAGCAAGGCTTTGCTGGCGCCACGGGCTGCTTCTGAAGCCATTTCCTTAGCGTCTGTCACGGAGGGTGCACTTTCCTGACAAGTGCCCCCAAGGTGCAGTGCTGGGACCGGGGAGGGGTGCACAGGTGCTGCGACCAGTGCTGGAGGTGGGGGGAGGGCGTCGCGTCCCGGCTGGGGCTTCCTCGCGCTACTAGGCCTCACCGAGGCCCGATGGACCCCCAGCTCCGGCCCCAGCGGCCACGCCTGGAGACGCAGCGGGAACTCGAGGTTCCGGCCGACGGGGACAGCACAGCTCGCCACCCTCCCGACCGGGTCGGGCCCATTTGGAGACACTCACCCGCGGGCCGAGAAGGCGGCCGCAGCTCCGGCTCCGCTTCCCTTTGTCCCGCGCTCGCCCCGCCCCTGCCGCGCGCCTGCGCTTCCGCGGCCGCACTTTCCACACGCCGCGGGAAGGCCTTCCGGGCTCTCCGCACGCCTCTTCTGAGAGGAAATAACGCTTCTGGGGAGGGACGCGGTGGCGGGTCTTTTATTTTTATTTTTTACATTAATTTTAGGTCTCAGAGTTTTCTCCAAACGTCCCGACTCGGGGACGCTTTCCGAAGCCGGACGCCGATTCGTCACGACGAGGTTCCGAGCAGGCCCGGCGGCGGACTGGGTCGGAGCTGGCGGCGCGGGGCGGGGGAGGGGAGGTGGCGGCGCGGGGCGGGGGAGGGGAGGTGGCGGGGGAGGGGAGGTGGCGGGGGAGGGGAGGCGGGGGAGGGGAGGTGGCGGGGGGTGGGTGGGGAGAGGAGGTGTCCGGGCCGACTGTGGGGAGGCGGTGGGGGCGACGCGGGGGACGCTGGGGTTGCGGCGGGAGGGACCCCGACGGCCCGCGGAGCGGACGGGGCGGGGGGGGGGGGCGCCCCGAGTGGCTTCTTCCTCACTGCGCTGAGAGATGCCCAGCCCGTGGCAGGGCCAGGTTGCAGGCCGCTCGCACGGTCAGGTTCCCCCCCCACCCCCCCAATGCCCATGCGTCTGCTTCCCCCTCTCCAAGGCCAAGGTGCTGTCCAAGGGGATCTGGTCCTAACTCACTTTGAATTCCCTCTCTATACGGGTCCCTTCCCTGGAGGAGCATTTCCTTCCAGATCCCTCCCGTTGCTTTGCGATGCCCTCCTAGAACTTGCTTCACCCATCCTTCCTTTGGGCTGATGTGGCTCTCTGGTAATAACCACTAAGAAGAGTGACCAAGATACTCTTTTGGGATCTCCAGGGTCTTAGGGAGGTTTGGAGAGCAGAGGTTCGGACGTGTGCACCGATCAGCTTCATATCACCATAATTAGATGTTGAGTAAGTGCCTGTTGAGGCAAGGTTTCTTGGACTATCCCGGGGGTCTTTTCACTAATCCTAGCTATTCTGGATGACTATATGGAATATATGAACACCTGACTGAGGTGGGCCATTGTGGAGGGAGAATGAACAGTGTTGACATGTACAGAGATGAGTGGAATTGGGGGGATGCCTTTACGATCACATTCCTGGTTGTGCCAGTAGGAACTGGGGCACCACCACAAGTCTGTGAAACCAGGGACATATAATACTGTGTTTAGTTATACATACATACATATGTATATATACACACATGAATATGTATGTGTAGGTATTATACGTGCATTTTTGATGGTACTGTGGCTTGAATTCAGTACCTTGCTCTCAGCTAGCTTATGCTAGTACTCTACCACATGCCTCTAGCCCTGGTTGTTTTTTTTGCTAGTGTTCTTTATTTTTGTTGTTGTTCATGGGGCTTGAATTCTGGGCCTGGACGTTGTCCCTCAGCTCTTCAGCTTAGGGTGAGCACTCTACCACTTGAGCCACAGTACCACTTGCAGTTTTCTGGTGGTTAGTTGGAGATGAGAGTCTCACGGACTTTCCTACCCGGCCTGGCTTTGAACTCCAATCCTAAGATCTCTGCCTCCTGAGTAGCTAGGATTACAGGTGTGAGCCACCAGTGCTCTGCTTGCTGGTGTTCTTTAGGGATGTAATTTCAAAGATTTTTCTGCCCAGGTTCGCTTCTAACTGTGATCCTCTGATCCCAGCTTCTTCAATAGCTAAGACTATAGATGTGAGCCACTGGTTCCATCTCATTATTTTTGTACTAATGAGTAGAGATTAGTCAAATCAAAGAACATACTGAAAGGAAGACTAAAGGGGAGGTTGCCAAATGATAATGGACAGACTGAGTGGTATGTCAGATAATGTACGGGTGTAGGATAAGCAGTTTCATCAGGGATCCATTGTGTTTAAAAAAGAATTTTTTTTTTTTTTAATGCTCATCCTGGGGCTTTAACTCAGGGCCTGGGTGCTGTCCTTGCATTTTTTTTTTTTTTGTTTTCTCTCTCAAGGTTAGTGCTCTGCAACTTGAGGCAAAGCTCCAATTCCAGCTTTTTGGTGGTTAATTGGGGATGAGAATCTCATAGATTTTCCTGCCGGGGCTATCTTGGAACTGCAACCCTCAGATCTCAGCCTGCTGAGTAGCTAGGATTACAGGTGTGAGCCACCAACACCGGGCTTCCAGTATCTTTTTACTCCACCCTTGCCCAGCAATTTCTGCCTGGTTTCTTCTGCGTTGAGGATGGTGGGATTATGGAATTGAGTGGGGACTGGATAAGAGCAGTTCTAGGAAGATGCTGTTTTACGTCTAGGCAGTTCTGGGAAGACAAATTGCAGGTACTAGATGGGAAGAACAAGGCACACTGTGGCATGCAGCACAAAAATTGTGAAAAGAGAAAGGAGATCCCAATGGAGCAGTGGTAAGGAGCTATGGGGGGAGACAAATATGTATTTTTTGATATACTTGTTCACCAGCTTTCCCCTCCCCCATCGCTCTAGGGATTGACCTCTGGGCTTCTTACATATCAAGCTCATGCTGTACCACTGAATTATACCTACCACATGTGGCTGCTTTTTTTTTTTTTTAACTTGAAGACTATTTTCCGTTTTTTTTTTTTTGTACTGGGGTTTGTTTTTGCTAGGTAGGCGCTCTACATCCAGTCATTACCTCTCCCCCTGCTCCACACAGGTTATGTTTGAGATAGGGTCTTTTTTGCCCAGGTCCAAGCCTGGATTGCATTCATCCTATTTTATGCTTCCCATGGTAGCTGGGAAGGCAGGTGTGTCTTACCATGCCAGCACCTTTTGTTGATATGGGTTTAAAGCCCTTGGACAGCATCCGGCCTGGAGATCAGATACCGAAGATACCACATTATTTTTAAAAGAGTTGCCAGCAGGGAACCAAACATTCTGCCTCTGCCCTTTCCTAGCCCTTTTAGTTCTTCAAGTTCTGATAGCTTTCCCAAGACCTTGAAGTGTGGGGGAGGGGATTTCTCTCCATTAGTGAGTTCACATATTGATAATATGAGTGAAGTATATATGCATTTTGTTGTGGGAATCCCCATTTAAGATTTTCCTTCCCCCATGGGCCACTGCATCTACATGTTCCAGCCACATTTGAATGTGACTGGAATTGCCAGGAAATGCCAGGAACTGACACAGAACTGCCACAGGTTCAAACCCAGGGAGATTCCCAGATTGCAGAACCTCAACCCAGGATGCCAAGCTGTGATACAGGATGCTGTGGCCTTGGTGCTTACCAAGTTCACGAAATGATCGCAAAAAACAATTTTAACACGTCTAATTAGGTGAGATGTTTGTATTAATTTTATTTAGCAGAATGGGTACATGAGAAAGCCCAGGTTCATTGTGTAAGGACCATCAGCTTCAGGCTCAGGTCTATCTGAGGAATTCAACTTTACTTTCCTACAGATATGCATATTCTTTGGGTTTTCCCCAATCATCTTGCATCATTCTGATGTTATTTACATTCCCAAGGGAGACAATAAGTCTGAGGGGATCTTATTAATGAAAGAGTTTTAAGGACACAGGTACCTGTTTCCTGCAACTTTTTTTTTTTTTTCTGGTGCCCATCCTGGGGCTTGAACTTAGAGCCTTAGTGCTATCACTATCTTTTGCTCAAGGCTAGTGCTCTACTACTTGAGCCAACTCTTTGGTAGTTAATTGGCGATAGAGTCTCATGGACTTCCTTTCCTGGGCTGGTTTAAAACCACCATCCTCATGTCTCATCCTCCTGAGTAGCTAGGATTACAGGTGTGAATCACCAGTGCCTAGCATATTGTAAATTGATCCCTGGCAAAGTTAACTAACTCTATTTAGCTTAATCATACAGAGAAATCTTTTCACTAAAAAGTACTATGTATCCACTGAAATACAAGGCAGCTTTGGAGTTCATGTTTCAATTTCTTTTTTTCTAATTTTATTGTGGTGGTATCATTTACTCTGATAAATTCATATTCCATTTTTTAATGTCTCAGAGCAAATAAAAATTTGTTTTAAATTCAAGTACTGTATTTGAAATGTATATTATACTCACATTAGTAGCACAGTGGGATTACTGTAACAGGCGATTACATTCATAATACCCAGTACTAAGGTTGTAACACTGTGATAGATTATAGTAGATAGTTTTTTAAAATCATAATCATTGTTGCTTAGTAGCTTATATGATTGCATTTCTTAAAGCTTTTATACAGTTTATAACATTTAAGTAATGTTACATGAATTAAAAAAAAATCAAACCTAGGACCGGCTAGATGCATATTCTATCACTGCACTGCATCCCCAGTCTAAAGAAAATGTTTATACATCAGATATTTATACAAGAATAAGCACATAGCATGCTATTGTTTCTTTGATGAAACAAAACCATTCCTTTTCACAAAATAGAATAAGCCAGGCCAGAAGGAATCTGAAGTAAATGAGAGAAAGTTTAAATGTTGACTGGTTGATACATACATATACATGAAGAGAAAGAAGGGAGAGACAGAGAGATAGAGATACAGAGACTGTAACAGCTGTACTAAATGCTAACATTGTAGCCCTTAGATGATACTTTAGTTAGAAAAAAGTATGGTGAGTTATACTCAGCCATTTTTTTTCCTGTTTAGAAAAAAATTAATAGCCTATAAATTTCTAATGTTTTTAAACAGGTATTCATTATTTAAGGTCAAATATACTTGTATTAAATAAATTAGTTTTAAGAACTTTGTTGTGGTACTTTGCTTATTAACAATTATGCTTTCTATCCATATTTATTACAGTTTGAACAATTTTAAAAGAAGTCCTGCAATCACGCTCAGCACAGATAACAATACTGTTACCTTAGTTCACATAAATGATTACAAGAAATATTTGTAATAGTTCATATAGTATTTTACTAAGGCTCATAGAAAAACACTCTAATCACATTTTACTTTAAGATGTAAAATTGGGATAGTGAGAGGTTGGGTAACTGTTCTAGTAACGAACTGCCTTTTTAATTTGCTCTTTGTGTTTAATACAGATGGGCCTAAGATATTTGTTTTCTGTGTGGAAGGATACAACATTTAAAGTTCTTTTAATAAGCTGACTCTTCTGAAAATCAGATATTGATTACAAAAACCTTTTGGATGTGATCTGACTAAAACAGCCTTTTGGGGATATTCTATAGTTTGCTCATGGAATAAAACTCTTCTTAGGATCTTTTTTTTTCTTTTTCTGCCAGTCCTGAGGCAAGAACTCTGGGCCTGGCACTTTCCCTGAGCTCCTTTTCTCAAGGCTAGCATTCTACCACTTGAGCCACAGCACCACTTCTAGTTTTTTCTGTGATTTAATTGGAGATAAGAGTCTCACAGACTTTCCTGCCTGGACTAACTTTGAACCACAATCCTCAGATCTCAGCCTCTTGAGTAGCTGGGATTACAGGTGTGAGCCACTGGTGCCTGGCTTCTTCTTACATTTTTAAGTGTTTAAGTGATTGTCACAAAAAAGAAGAATCCTAAGAGAATAGTGAGCCTTCCCTTAAAAAATTGCTTATAACTGCCTATGGCTTCTAAAGTAGAACAGTTTTAGGTTTAACAGGTCTTGGCCTAATGATGAATCACTCAACTTGACTCTAACCTAATGTTAATTATATTCAGTTTTTTCCCTTCGAGTGTTTAACGACTATTTAATTATGCCAGATTAATACTTACAGTCTCCGATAAAATTTCCCAAGGATTAAGAAGACTGTTTGGAGAATAAATAAAATAGAAACCCTACTGAATTTCTGATTTTATTTTTAAGCTCCTCATCTCCAAAAAATATATCCATAAGTGAGTTCAGAGAACTTTTATCCTTTAGAGTGTGTGTGTATGTGTGTGTGTGTGTGTGTGTGTGTGTGTGTGGTTTTCTTGAAGAGAATCACAGTCACACATTGAGATAACATTATTTATACATACTTCATAACTTACATTTGGGACAGAAGGGGGGGTCAGCATGGTCCTCTTTGCTCCATCCTAATGTCAAATCATGTCCAGACTACCTTTGGGTTAATTAGTTGCTGAAGGAGGTTTAATAGATGGAATACTGCATGATCTTCTCATGATCAGCCTGACTTCTATATCTGGCAGATTATCCTGTTTAGTCTGTAAGCACCCCTCATCCGTGGCTGCTAAGTGAAGATCGAATCGAAGGGAAACAGATTTTTTCCTTAATCGAGGGTTATCTTTAAAGAAGGAACCTTCCCATTCTTTAATAACTTCGTCTACTTTCTCTGTCCTGGAATGATAAAAGTACAACTTTCTATAGGATGAAGAATGGGCACATTAAGGTACAGACACAACATGCATTCTGTATCTATGAAAGGAAATTCAGCAACTTGTATGACTATAGTTAACAGGATTTATAATTGATATACAGGATGTGTGTAGCTATGTGTGCTAGTACTGGGGCTTGAACTCAGGGTCACATTCTCTTTCTTGTCTTTTCTGCTCAAAGTCTGTATTCTACTACTTGAACCACACCTCTGCTTCCAACATACAGGACATTAAAAACCATAGGGCTATAATTTCTAAGGAATTCTGTGGAATTTCTACAGAAATTCTCATGTTTTGGTTCTATTTTTAGGGAAAAAAAACCTGGTAAATTAGTTACCTACTCTTTCAAAATCTTGTTTCAATGTGTATAGGTTTATGTCAGTTTAAAAATCATAATAGAGTAAAACTGTATTTGAAACAATTAATTGATCAGGTACTGGTGGCTCATGCCTGTATTCCTTACTACTCAGGAGGCTGAGATCTGAGGATCATGGATGGAAGCCAGTGTGGGAAGAAAAGTCAATAAGATTTTTATCTCCAGAAAGCTGGAAGTTGAACTGTGTTTAAGTGTTAGAGCACAAGCTTTAAGCAAAAGATCAGGAACAGCATACACACGCGTGTGTGCGCATGCACATGCACATGTGCACACACATGGGAGGAAAAAGAAAATAGTTATTTAGTGCTGAGTGCTAATGGCTCACATTTGTAATCCTTGATACTCAAGAGGCTGAGATCTGAGGGTCACTGTTTGAAGCCAGCCCAGGGCTTTTACCTACAATTTACCAAGAACACAGAAGTAGAGTGATGGCTCAATTGGTAGAACATCTGGCTCAAGACAAAAAGCTAAGGGACAACATCTAGGTCCTGTGTTCCAGCCCCTGCATTCAAGCCCCAGTAACAACAACAACAACAAAACCCAAAATAAATAAAAAACCAGAAAATAATGACTTTCTGGCCTGGGACAAATATAGAGTAAAGTTAGTTTCTTTGCCTCTCTTACGCTTATTTAAGTTACTTACTGAGGAAGTGGTGCTGTAGCTCAAGTGGTAGAGCGCTAGCCTTAAGTGAGCTGAGGGACAGCGCTCAGGCCCAGAGTTCAAGCCCCACGACCGACAAAAAAAACAAAAAACAAACAAAAAAAGTTACTTACTGAATGGTGCCATGTGCTTCAGTGCTCTCCTTCACAACATTTCCATTTAAGATTGCCTGTTTGGTCACTGTCTCCACCTTTTCATTCTCAAACTTCTGTGGGAGTTTTGTTGAAAATGATATTTCATTTATAATGGCTGTGAAAAAGTAATTTATGATATGTTAAATTCAGTGCTGAAGTATTATCCACTAAATCACATACTAAACTTTTATTCAAATGTAATTTCTTTTTGCTCCTTTGAGGTATTTCATTTCCTGGTCATCTCCATAAATACCACCTCCCTTTCTGAATTAGTTTATCTGCATCAGAAACTCACCTGAAGGTAAACGAAAACCAACTCTACTGGTAGCTGGTTTGGGGTCTTTTTTCCCACCTTGGATACAACCATAATATCTGAAAATGGGAAGAATTATGTTATAGGAGCCACAGTGCAGAAGTAAGCAATTGAAACAAATAGGAGAATGGATAAATCGTACATTCATACAATAGAAATAGTATTTAGCAGTGAGAATGAATTAAATAATGCAGGACTGAATTTTTGTCAAAGAATCTCTAGAAGACAGAGACAAAGTAAAAAGAAATGAGCAACAAGGGAAGTGAGAAGGTCAGGAAATGATGAAGAATCACTTATAATCTTGTGATGGCTGACTTAGAAGAGTTAACTCTGGCTATTGGGTTCCTACTTTCAGCAGACTGGATACAGTCCTTCTACCTGTTTTACTACTGTGTTGTAGTTGTTCAGTGAGTGTCTTGAGGATGGATTTGATTTCTCTGACTTTGTCAGTAATGATGATCTTCTCTGTCTGTGGGATTAGGTACCTGATTTCTTCCTTTTCTAGGAGGCGGCGATATGTTTCAATTTCCTGTTCCAGCCTCATCTTGGTGTTGAGAAGCATCTCATGCTCTTGAAGCTGCCTTTCGATGCCACACCTGACTTCCTGCAGCTCCTTCTCCAGCCCATCAATCACTGCTTCGAGGTCTTGCAGCTGCATCTGGTAGTGCTGCTCGCTGGCGTGCAGGGAGTTTTCAAGGCCCCTTTCCTGTTCAGAGACATCCTCAGTAGCAAATCAAATGTGTCTCCAAATGTGTCCCTGATATCAGACCTGCAATGTCTTCATTCATCTATGTTCTATTTTATTGATTTATTTGTTCATTTGCTTTTGAGGTACTAGCAATCAAACCTAGGGCCTTGTTCATGCTACTGCCCAGCTATAATATTTTTTATATTTTACTTATTGTTTAATGTTTTTGGTAGAACTGGGGTTTGAACTCATGGCCTTATGCTTTCTAGGCAGGTACTCTAAAACTTGAGCCATGGCACCATCCCCTCCTTCTTTTTTTGTTGATCATGGGGATTGAACTCTGGGCATGGGCGCTGTCCCCGAGCTCTTTAGCTCAAGGCCAGGGCTCTATCACTTGAGCCACAGCACCACTTCTGGTTTTCTCGTGGTTAATTGAAGATAAGAGTCTCATGAACTTTCCTGCCTGGGTTGGCTTTGAACCATGATCCTCAGATCTCAGCCTCCTGAGTAGCTAGGATTATAGGCATGAGCCATGGATGCCTGGCTCAGCCCCCCTTTTTTAGTCTTTGATCTTTCAGGTAGTGTCTTGTGTTTTTGCCAGAGAACAACCCCCTAACATCCTTCTATCTGCTAGAGTCTTCTCCATAGTTTATCACCAGGCATGTTCACCACACCTGGCTTATTGATGGATAGGTTTACGTATCCTGGCCTCCTGACTCCTGCTGTACAAATAACTGGGATTACAGGCATGTACCACCATGCCTGGCCACAGATATATTTTAAGGTTGCAGTAATAGTATCTCACTTATAGAAAAAGAGTTTTTTTTTTTAATTTTATATCTGGGCATGGTGACACACACCTCTAATAACAGCTACTCAGAAAGTGGTAGTAGAGGACCACACATTCCATATCCGCCTGGGCAACTTAGTAAAACTCTTGTCTTGAGAAGGAAAAAAAAAAAAGAAACAGTGAAAAAGAAAAAAAGCAGGCTGGGAGTATAGGTTAGTAGTAGAGTACTTGCCTAGCATGCATGACACCCTGAGTTCAATTCTCAATACCAAAAAAAAGCTGTGTTACTATATTTCAAAGAAGTCCCATAATAATTTCATAGCATCTTCTCCCTACAATCCTCTGTCATGATTAATTTCTTTTCACTAAAGTAAATATTCACAATACAGTGAATAGGAAAGGCAGAGCAGACTGCTTCTCAAAGGAATTTTCAGAAAGTGCTTCAGTATATTTTTCTATTAGGAATCTTCAATACCATGAATTAAAAAAATCCCACTGGTAAGACTAGATAACAGATGTCTCTTTCCCTCCATTAGGGCACCCCCAGGGGACAAGTGTTACTTCATTCTTATAGGTATAAACTAAACCTTGAGTCATCTGGTAACAGCCAATGTCATGCAACGGTGACAACTAGAATCGGGAATCATACTCTGCGCCCCTGACTTCCAGAGTCTCTGTGTTAAGGAATGAATGAATATTCCTTTCCCTCTTTTTTTGTGCATGCTGTACAAGTGCTCTACCATTAAGCTACATTCCCACCCCTCTTAATCTTGTAACATCTAGGGGTACCATGAACCAGGTGTTTTGAGGTCCTTCTCACCACAGCGTGCAGAGACTCAATTTCCACTTGCAAATGGTGCCACTGGCGTCGAGCCTCCTTGAGTTCTGCTTGAGCTGCCTTTAAAGCCTCTTCATCTTTGTCCATCTTTTTGCTTATATCTTCTTCTAGCTAAAAGAAAGTCAACAATAACAACTGACAAAAACGAGGCATTTTTGAAAAAAAAAGTTTAAAAGCAACTATAGAAAAAAAATCACATATAGGAAAGCACTGTTTGATTATGGATGTGTCCCATTTTTTAATGACTACTTAGGTGTGCCAGCCAATTGTACTGTCAGTCTCAGTTTTCTATAATGTAAAATAATTTCAAAATTTCTTTCCAAATGGGGCATGGTGGTATGGGCCTATCATCCCAGCACAGGAAGATGGAGAGTTTGAGGCCAGTGTGAGAGTTTGTCTCAATCCCCACTACCCCCCAAAAACCAAAAATCCCGAGCCCCAAATTCCAAATATATGACAAATTATGAAAAATGAAAAAGTACCTCTGGGCTGGGAAGGTGGCTTAGTGGTCGAGTGCTTGCATAGCATGCATGAAGCCCTGGGTTTGATTCCTCAGTACCACATAAAAAGCCGGAGTGGCTCTGTGGCTTAAGTGTTAGAGCACTATCCCTGAGCATAGAGAGGCTCAGGGACAGAGCCCAGGCACTGAGTTCAAGCTTCAGGACTGGCCCAAAACAACAACAACCCTCATATCTTTTAATGAAAAAGAACAGTTTTCAGAAACTAAATTTATGACCTTTGATTCTATGTGTATGTATGAGTGTGTATGTGTCTATGCATGTGCGTGCATGTACTTGTGCCAGTTGTGGAGTTTGATTCAGGGCCTGTGCACCGTCCTTGAACTTTTTTTGCTCAAGACTAGTTAGCCACAGCTCCACTTCTGGCTTTTCGGTGGTCAGATGGAGACAAGAGTCTCTTGGACTTTTCTGATGGGGCTGGCTTCAAACTGTGATCCTCAGATCTCAGATTCCTGAGAAGCTAGTATTACAGGCATGTGCTACTGGTGCCTGGTTAGACCCTTGATTCTCAACTTTTATTACTTATAGGTTGTTAAGGAAGAAGGATTAAAAATTAGCTTATTTTCCTACATATTTTCTTGTGGGATGCTTTAGAGAAGGTACATAGATACATATCCAAAATGGATCAATTCCTGCACCAGGCATATGGACAAGGAGTTTATACTAGTGGAAAATATATTACTAGTAAATGAGAGAACAAAGTTATAGGTATTAAAGTTCTTTCTTTTTTTGGTAGGTAGTGGGTCTTGAACTCAGGCCTGAGTGCTGTCCCTGAGCTTTTTTGATCAAGGTTAGCATTCGAACACTTTGAGCCACAGCATCACTTCTGATTTTCTGGTGATTGATTGGAGATAAGAGTCTCACGGACTTTCCTGCCCGGGCAGGCTTTGAACCGTGATCCTCAGAGCTCAGCCTCCTGGTAGCTAGGATTGCCAGCATGAGCCAGTGGCAGTTGGCTGCATTAAAGTTCTTAAGTAGATTTCTTTATTAAGATAACACACTGTTTAGAAAACTTTTTTTTTTTGTCAGTCATGTGTCTTGAACTTAAGTCCTGGACACTGTCCCTGAGCTCCTTCACTCAAGACTAGCACTCTACCACTTTGAGCCATAACACCACTTCCAGTTTTCTGGTTGTTAATTGGAGATAAGAGTCTCAAGGACTTTTCTTCTCAAGCTGGCTTTGAACCAAAATCCTCAGATCCCAGCCTCATGAGTAGCTAAGATTATAGGTGTGAGTCACCAGTGCCTGGCTTTAGAAAACTTGTTCCAAAACTAGTTTTTGTAAGTCTAATCCTTATTTTTAGTATCTGTGGTTAGTAACAAAAATGACATCTTTAAAGTAAAGATTGTTTTCTAAAAGTTTTCATATTAAAAATCATGCAGAATATTTTGTTTGGCTTTGATTTTTGTTTTTTTTTTTAGTGGTACTAGGTTTGAACTCAGGGCCTTGTGCTTACTAGGCAGGCACTCTACCACTTGAGCAATACCATTAGTCTAGCTTTAAATATTTGTATGCTGATGTTGGAATTAAAAAAAAGTATCTGTTGCCAGAATTCTCATTATTTGTACAAGTAAGTAATAGTACAAGTAAAAGTACAAGTAATCAATGTATCAAATTGATTGCATTATTTTGAAGCAACAACTTTATATGTTCTTATCAAATACATTTTGAAAGTAAAAGGTTTAACTTGAATGTACAATAGATGATGTTTGAAGGAAGCTAGAATTAAATAAAAGCCTGTGAATAGATTTAAGAGAATGAAATTCATAGGCTTCTTTTGGTTGGCGGATTGCTTGTTTTTAGTTAGCAAAGTCACACATGCAAACAGCACATACCAATACGGTTATAATAGTGAATATAGAATATCAGAACAATAAAAAAAAATTGCAGGTCAGTAGTGTTGAACAGGTAGCTAAGCTTGTTGGTTAACTAGATTTTCAAGATGGTATCTAGTGAACTATACTTCCCAAATTCCTGTCCTTGTGTGTTCCCCCTCCACATTGAGTCTGGCTTTCACCAGCAGTGGCAGAAGTGATGCAGGACCAGCTCTAGGGCTAAGCCTCAAGAAGCTCTGTCAGCTTCCATTTCTGTGTTTTTGACAGCCCTGGGCTATGGTTTTAGAAGTTTGACTACCCTGTTGGAGAGACTGTGAAGAGAGGCCAGATGGAGAGGGACCCTGAGGCTGTCTGGAGAGAGAGAGGAAGAGAGGGAGAGCTGGACAATGGGAAAGGAAAGAAGGGAGGGGAGAAAGGGAAGGAGGGAGGAAGAGGTTCATTTGGTCAGACAGCTGAGCTAGCTTTCTGGCAAGCCCCTACCAAGGTACCAAACACATGAGCCATCCGCTTTGGGTGTTCTAGGCCAATAGTGCCCAAAGATGACTGCACCAACATCTCCCTGGTCACTATAGAATCATGAGATGGAACACAATGGCTATTTTAGGCCACTGTGTTTTTTTCTTTTTTTGGGGGGGAGCTTTATTCTATAGTATTTGGTAACTAAAACAGCTTGCATTTATTTGTGATTAGGGTTGAACCCAGGTCATTGTGATAATTTAATACTCAGGCTTTCTTGAATTGTAGTTGGCTTATGAATTTAATACTCAGGCTTTCTTGAATTCTAGTTTGGCTTTCTAAATTATTTTCAAAAAAAAAATAGTCTGAAAGTCTTTATCTTACAACATGTTCAAAATGAAACTTAACTGTAGTCTTGGTTTTATTTTTTTAATTTTTTGAATTTACTCCTTTCAACGTTGTAAACTAAACTTGTATACCTACTCCTGCGAAGAAAAGTTGTCATCTATTATTTTTTTCTTTTTGTATAAAAGATGAGTGAGCTATTCTAACAGCTAAGACAATATACCAGTGGGAAACTAGAATGTTGATCATTCTTTATGAGGATTAAAAATATTTCCCCAAGATAAATTTATAACATACTCAAATGAGTTGCTAATGAAATGAAGATCTGTCATTTCCTAGTGATCTTTCTTCTCTCCCTTCCTTCCCTTCCCTTCCTTCCTTCCTTCCTTTCTTCCCTTCTTTCTTTCTCTCTTTCTTTCTTTCTTTCTCTTTTAGCTATAATTGGGCGGTGGGAACAGAACTTGAATTCAGATATGATAGGTAGACTAATAAAAAAGAAATCCTGCATTCCTAAATTTTATTTTTAAACTATTTGACCTTAATTACTAACTGTGATATCACTTCAAAACCAAGTATATGAAATTAGGTTTTAGGTCTGATCCAAGCTGGCTTTCTCTTTAAAAAAAATATTGCAAGCTTTGCATGGGGAAAAAAAAACATTTCTCACAGTTCAAAAGCAAAAATCTGTTAGTGGAGAGTCGTGACCAATTTTGATTGTTGTAATTTCTATCATTTGGTTTTGAATGCCATGTTCACAAACTCAGATCATTCCTATTTATAACTGTCTGGTATAAAACTGTGCTCATAAAAAGATGATGCAAACCTTTTAGAAATATCCTGCTTAATTTTAATCTCTAGACTGTGCATTCTAATAAATTTCCCATTTTAAAGATGTGGCAGTAACTTTGTAGGGTATTTGATATGCTTTCTCCCTGAAGAAGTCTAAAAGGAGGATAGAGGGCACCATTTTATTGTTTTTGACCCCCATGTTTTGATCAATGACAGCCACCTCATAATTTACGTACAAATCAAACGCACCAATCAATATTTACAGAGTGGAAATTTAACAGCCACAGTTATTTTGTCGCTGTTCCCCCCCCCCCCTCACCCCCCATTTCTTGACCCGGTTCCAGTGCTGTAAAGCCTATATATTCCTTCCCAGTATATGCTGCATGGAAAAGGAAATACTGTACCTCAGAGAGGCCGGGACAGGAATTGGGTAGACATGGATTGTCTCCTTATCCTGGAAGGTGCCTGTCTGTATGAAATCATTACCTGGATCCTCGTTGAGAGCACCGTCTCTATCTGATTGCTGGTGAGGAGCTTTTCATAGTTTGCCCTGATCTCATTGAGGAGCTGGGACAGTTCCATTCTTTCCCCATCCTCCACCTTGGCTAAGTGAACCCTATCGACAGGATAGGATGAGTCTCTGCGGCAGAGCCTGCCCTGCCTGCGTCTCTTCCGTGGAGAGCAGACAGCCGGGTTTGGAGCCTTAAAGATGCAGAGCTCTTTTTTCTCCCCACCCCAGAGGCCGAGAAAACGCGAGTGTTTCAAATCAATTATGCAAATACGATGCAAATGGATTGCTCTTGGTATAGCAGAAATGTCAGAATCTTGATGGAAGGAAGGAAAAATAAAGCGCTGATCACTTTGGGGAGTTTAATTTACTTTTGTGGAAAGGAAATGGGTCATGAGATGAGGAAAATTGTATTGTTTTTCCCAAGATAGTGCATAAAAATTAATCTGGGCCAAAAACATAAGGATAAAATTTTCTTTTATAGCTTATTTTTCTTTTCACCATCAGGATTTTTTTTTTTTGGCCAGGTATTGTGGCTTGAATTCAGGACCTGAGTACTATCCTTGAGCATTTTTGCTCAAGGTTAGTGTTCTACCACTTGAGCCACAGCTTCATTTCCAGCTTTATGCTGATTAATTGGAGAGAAGAGTCTCATGGACTTTTCTTCCCTGGGCTGGCTTCAAACCCTGATCTTCAAATCTCAGTCTCCTGAGTAGCTACGATTACAGATGTGAGTACCAGCAGCCAGCTACCATTTGGATTCTTTAAACAGAAATGCTATAGTGAGTCACTAGACTATGTGGAAATTTAAAATACTGGACTGGGAATGTGGCTTAGTGGTAGAGTGCTTGCCTAGGATGCATGAAGTCCTGGGTTCAATTCCTCAGTACCATATAAACTGAAAGAGTCAAAAGTGATGCTGTGGCTCAAGTGGTAGAGTGCTAGCCTTGAGCACAGAGAGGATCAGGGACAGTGCCCAGGCCTCGAGTTCAAGCCCCAGGATTGGCAAAAAAATATTATGACAAGTATTGGAAAAAGCTGCTATCAGATTAAGATGACACTTGCCGTTGGCCTTAGAATTGACTGACTGCATTTTCCCTTGAATGCCTATTGTGGAGGACTTCTGGCTGAGGGCAGAGTTTGATGAACTGAGGTGAATTCCTAGAGGCATGTTGCAAATGAAGTCAAGGGCAGAGGTGAGGCTCCCACAGTATCAGAGCTGTGGGATAAGATTGCCAGTGTTTGAAAAGTGCGGAAGACATAGATTTGTTTGGTCTTTGTGGAGACTGTGTTTCACTGAGATAAGATTTATTGGGAGATTTCATCTCCATCAATAAATGTTAAATGCAATTTCTACTTGAAAATAGGACATTTTTCCAATTTAAAGGAACACTTGGCATCTGCCAATCCATCCAATCTTCGATTTTGACATTTAGTGACCTGTAAAGTCGAGAGGACTAGGGCCAGAGGCATTAAGGTATTGTGTTCAAGGTCATTTGGTGAGGTAAATGGCATCTTTGGGACTGGAACTTTGATTGCTTGGCTGTAGTCCATTGCTCCATCTGCTTCTCCATTATCTCCTTGACACCCCCTCTCCCCCAATTCTTTGTTCGATCTGACCAACATGAATGAATTCAAATAGGACTGAAACATTTTTGTGAATGGATTTGTGGCTGTTGGTTGAATTGTATAGAGAGCATGGGAGAGGGGTAGTTGGGATCTTAGCTCCGTTTCTCACAATGCCTTTGCATGTATATCTTGTTCTTTTAATTTCTCAATGAACATATTTCTGGACAGGCTAGTCTGTATCAGGCATTTCCACAATCTTCCCCAAACAAAGTTTGGGCTGATCCCCAACCCTTGGAGAGGGTCCAGGTTATTTCTGTACCCTCCTTCCTCCACATTCACCACCAGTCACAATTTGACAATTTATTGGTGGGTCAGAGTAGCCTGATATAAAAAGCTCTCCTTTAGAGGGGCACAGAAGTTATCCAGGCCAAATGGATTGTTTTTGTTGATACTTGAAACTGTGAAATATGAAGAGAATTAGCTACTTAGGATAGGAAAGAGAAAGAAGTGACAAATTAAACTCAAATTATATTCAGAAGCAATAAATTACACCCTCTGGTTACTTTACCTAGCTTCTGCTAAGGTCTGCCTAAAATAGAGAGAGAGCTGAACTAGATTATGTGGAGGCTGGTTCTGGCAGTCTGCGTTTTATTATGTTATCTTCATTTTTTTTGGCAGTACTGAGGATTCAGCTCAGGATCTCTACCAATTGAACCATGCCACCAGGCTGCAATCTGCATTTTGAACAGATATTTCCTAGAGCCCTAAAACAGTGCCCTTGAACAGCAAGCTGATATATACCACAAGGGCAAACCACATATTTAATTTTCAACATTCTAGCAGCCATATCAAAAGGTATAAAAGGAAGTGGATGAAATTAATTTCAATATCATATTTTACATTACCCAGTATACCCCAAAATATAATAACACATTATTTAAATTCTTTATTTTTGATACTGTCTTTGAAATTAAAAATGTATTTTATACTTCTAGCCTATCTAAATTTGCATAAGTCACATTAAAATTTGCAAAGCAGACTGGGGCTGCAAGGTAATAGATTTGATTTCTATTATTGCAAAAAAAAATGAAAAAAATTCAAAGTGCTCAATAGTATGTGGCTAATGGCTAATGGATTGGACAGAGCAGATTTGAGATTTGGGTTTAACTGACTGGCTCAGAAGAGTATCACAGGCTTTTTTCCCTTATATGTGGAATCAAATAAAAATGAGAAATGCATACAGAGGAGAGGGGTTATTATTGAGTAGGAAAAGGATCAGCAAGAGGGGTGAGGATGAATAAATGTGGGTAATGAGGATGTAAATATGATCAAAATACTTTATAAATGTGTATGACAATGTGATAACAAAGCCCACTATTTTGTATAATTAGATGTGTTAATAAAAATAAGAGGCTCAGTTAAAAATAAGATACTTTTCTCCTTTTTTCTTTATTATTATTATTTCGGTGCCTGTCGTGGGGCTTGAACTCAGCACCTGGGCACTGTCCCTGAGCTTTGATGCTGAAGGATAGCTTTCTACCACTTGGGACCACAGCTCCATTTTTTTTTGGTAATTAATTGGAACCCCAGTTAGCCTCAAATCATAATCTTCACATCTCAGCTTCCTGAATAAGTAGGATTACAGGCATGAGCCATGGGCACCTAGACCCTCCTTTCTTTTAATTAGAATGTTTACTTTTTACATACATTTTTCCGATGTAAATTTGAAGTTTATAACATAATGTTATGGGATACCTATGTACATATATATATATATATATACATATATATATATATATATATAGTGTATCTCTGAGTAAGTATATATATGTTGTATATGTATGTGTGTGCATATGGCATATAACACACAGTTTAGGCAAAACGGCTTTTCCCTCTAGACATTTGTAATTATGAATTTCTTTTCTTTCTCCTTCCTTCCTCCCTTCTTCCCTTCCTCCCTTCTTCCCTTCCTCCCTTCCTCCCTTCCTCCCTTCCTCCCTCCCTTCCTCCCTTCCTCCCTCCCTCTCTCCCTCCCTCCCTTCCTCCCTTCCTCCCTTCCTCTCTTCCTCTCTTCCTCTCTTTCTCTTTCCTTCTCTCCTTCTCTTTCTTTCTCTCTCTTTCTCTCTCTCTCTCTCTTTCTCTCTCTCTCTCTCTCTCTCTCTTTCTCTCTTTCTTTCTTTCTTTTTCTTTCTTTCTTTCATCAGTTCTAGGGCTTGAACTCATGGCCTGGGCACTGTCCCTGAGCTTCTTTTGCTCAAGGGTACTTGAGCCATAGTGCCACTTCTGGTTTTTCTGTTTATGTAGTACTGAGAAATCAAACCCAGGGCTTCATGCATGCTAGGTAAGTACTCTATCACTAACCTACATTCCCAGCCTCTTACTTTGCTTCAAATAGAAACATCCAACTTACCTTTTAATCATAGAGCTTAGGTAGTCTTTTGCTTATGAAGTATAGTTTCTTTTGCAGCTTCAGATACCGCTTTTTAAATCAAGTATGCATTCTAATAGGATTAGAGAGGCAGAACTAGACAGCAAGTAAAAGATTTTGTTTAAGTTAAAAAATTGGTTCTGAATGACAGGCCTTTATGGGCTGGTCCCTTTTTTGTTATATTGTTGATCTTTCTATTCACAGGAGCATGCCTCCACAGGATAGGGTGAATCTTGTGTTTCATGGGTCAGGGAACTCCATGCAAAGTAGTGTGGCAGGTTTTCGGTATGTTTGAGAAATGCTTATACGTGCATCCTATGCCCTGTACATGCATTTTGTGTGGACTGATGAAGCAGGATAAGCCACATGCAGGCTGGCTCCTGCATGTCATGTGAGGCTCACCTCATTCTTAGTCGCTGTAGTTCAAGAATACACAACAAGAAAACAGGGCAATTTCTCCAACCAAAGACTTAGCCTTGAGATGTACTTTTTCTCATATTTTCCCTGATGCTTTCTCTTCCTGCCTTGTTTACTGACACCCAGTGCAGTATAATAGGATATCTGCTTAGGTAAAGTTATATCCTGTAAAGTAGGCTTTATCTTCAAGATACAAATGGAGATCTTCCAACAGAATGTGACTGTCCATCTACTCACATGACCCTTTATTCTTTTTTTTTTCTGTTGGTTGTAGGACTTGAACTAAGTACCTGGGCATTGACCCTGAGATCTTTTTGCTGAAAGCTAGCACTCTACCACTTTGAGCCACAGCTCCACTTCCAGTGGTGGTTAATTGTAGATAAGAGTCTCATGGACTTTCTGCACAGGCTGGCTTTGAACCAAGATCCTCAGTTCTCAGCCTCTCTGTAGCTAGGGTTACAGGCCTGAGCCACTAGCACCAGGTGTGATTCTGTATTTGAACCCTTGCTTGTTTTGCTATAGTACTGTCCATCAAATACTCGTCAGCCTGTTTGACTATATGAGTTACTAAAGTAGCCAATCCTGTTAGAGTTGGACCATGTAGATTGCCTTTGAATGCAGTGTTTATTCTCCTTACTCAGTCCTAGTAACTTCAGCAGC